CATTACTAAATGTAAAGTTATGAGGATATTGCGTACTAATCCTCATCTGCCTCTCTACCATCTCAACAACGCACCCTTGCCCCTGTTCCTTCTTATAAATATGTGGGCGTTCATATCCCTTGTAAACGCTCCTGGAAACTGCATGTTGAATATATCATCAATAACGCAATACCTGAAAGGAAACTTTGCTCTCGCAACGTCATCTCTAAAATTAACACTGTACAAATTTCTCGTTCGCTCCAAATTAGAGTATGTTTCTTCTATCTGGGGCCCCAGTCAGTCTAATCTAATGAATGTTCTGGAAGCGGTCCAAAACCGTTCTGCCCGTTTTATTCTAGGTAACTATCACCGCACTGCCAGTGTACGCTTCATGAAAATCGCCTTCTTCCTGTCTGAGCTCTCTCTCCGACGTAAGGTCGCTCATTTCTGTCTTTTTCACAAGATATATTGTACTAACCCGTAGTTAAAGCAACGTCTTTTCATCCCACCGTTCTCCATTTCACCCCGCATCGATCATCACCTCAAAGTTGGAATTTGTAAATGTAATACAGCGGTATTTCTACAATAATTCGTCCCTAAAACTTCTTTGGAATAAAATCACCTTCCGACTTCTGTAATCTATATTGTTGATACCCAAATGTTTAAAAATGCTCAAAACGCTCTTTACTGTCCTCAGCCGCCATGATACATTACGTACTCTGCCCTTTTGTTTCCTTTTGTGCGTTATTTTGTTACTCCCACTACCCTCTTTAATACCGATTGGACTTGAGGGCATTTAAATAAATAAATTAGGTGTGAAACTGCTTTGAGAAATGCAGATGTTCTATTATCTGATTCAGCTGCTGTGTTAATGGTGAATTCACACAAAAGCGCCGCTAACTTCGGCTCCGTTACAAAGGAACACCACTGAATTTTGCTTTGGCAATATTAACAGCTAAGAACTGCTACCACAAGAATATAAAATGAAAGAGGCACCGCAATTTTAGGTTTACTTTTTTTTTTTTTTTTTTTTTAGGCAGGAGATTGTTAGGATGGTAAACACCAAAAACTATCAGTTTATTCGAAAGTTTGCCCACGAGCTGCGAGGTGAAACTCTTTAGCGAGCTCTAGGTTTTGAGAGTATCATTATAAATTAAACGGAATTTGTCCCCACATGACTTCCTCAGAGCCTTGCAAATGCCAGAATTTGGCTTATTTTAAACCTTTTTTTATATTCGCGTAGAAACACTCCATTTCTCCTTTTAATAAAACTACAGTACATTTTTATAATAATTTCTAGATAAATTTTTCAACATATTTGGTAATTAACTTTTTGAGCCTTTTTGTACCTTCGAATAAACTCCAATTCTTAAGGGTCTTTAATTTGTGTTCTGTGAATGTACACAGCTCGGCACTGTAAGGGCACTACAAGCCATTATCGTATTCTCTCGTTTCTTACTTTCAAGTCTGATTTGCTGTCGTCGAAATTCACAGTAGGATTGAGTGTGCTTCTCGTGGGTACTAATATAACCGGTAGAATTCGGTTTTCTTCAGTGCTATTTATAAACACCCCCGAAAGCGCCGAAGTCGTGTTCGCAATATTTGTGTCGTGCAATGCACACTGAGTTCCATCGCTTTAACTCATTGTTTCCCCAACTGTAAGTCGCCACTCCGCCACGCCGCGAAGGTTCAGCGGGGGGACGCGAAGCGACTCAATAATTTAAAAGAAAGCAATCCTGGCTTCTCTGCGGTGGCGTCGACGAAAACAAAATAGTGGTCGCGCCTCAATATCGAACCGGAACTGAGAGGTGTGGTGTCCAAATTTCGCCCTTATTTTAAAAAACTGCTCTATCAAACAAGTTCACGTTATTATAAAGTATTAGCCTACATTCATGTTGGCTGTTCTTGCGCTGAAACATAGTAGCTTGTGGCATCGCGGAAAGTCAAGAGTGTGGGGAGGGAAGGGGAAGGGGGGGGAGGGGTGAGTCGCGACGCGATATTTGATCATTCTGATGGATTGCAGGGTAGCAGAGTTCGGGAATCACCTATTGCTGAATAAAAATGAATCGTTATTCATCTAAGCACCACGTACTCAATGTGTGTTCGATTACACCTGCAAAAGTTTTTTTTCTTGCTCTTTTTTTTATTTGCGTAAAAGCCTTTTGGTGATTACGCAGATTCGTGAAGCTCAAACGGATGTCTTTCACGGCTCTGTGGCTCTCTCGAGCCTCGTATTTGCAGGCGCTGCCATTCTTGTTCTTGACATACGATGCGTTTGTGTTCCGGCTGAAGGGACGAGGAAATCCGCATCTGAACGTTTGCGAAGCACTCGAATGTCCATTAGACATTCGCTATGTGCTCAGTACACGGGCCCGAGATACCAGGAAGCACGCGCGCTTACGACGTCCTCTTCCGACCCGGCAAGTATTTTAGTACTGCTGAACTAGTTAAACTAAAGAAGGTACACTTCAGGATGTCCACATTAGAGCTCTGAACGCGGCCGGGCCGTCCCGAAAGCCCGTACCTGGCCCGGCCCGCGGTCCGGGTCCGGGCTGGGTAACACGGATTGTTTCCGAACCCGGGCGGGCCTCGGGCACTGGTGTAGCAGACTTTCGAAAACGTTGAAAATAAATGGCTAACGTGCTGATGGTTTAAATTTGAAAGAAACGAAAAAGCCGAAGTGCGGACTCGCTACGATGCCACTAAGTTAATCTTAAAATAAATAAAGTTGTTCTCGACTAAGCAAGCTAGCAAAAAAATACGGAGAAGCCTGGGGATTTTATCAGCAAAGTGGGAAAGCTGCCAGCAGGCAATAAAACTAGGGCAATCCTGCCACAAGGTAGGGTACGGTTTCTTTCTTAATCGAACTCTCGAGGGGAAAAAAACAACAACATCTGGCTACCAAAGATGATCTATGCCCTTTATATTTGTGTAAATGTTTGAACGTTCACCACGTGACTGATATGAGAGCATCTTTTTTGCAAAATAGCAAAAGAATCAAATGCCGCAACACCTTCCCAGGGCAGCTTTGAATTTCGGAGACGAGGCACGCTTTAGCCTCTGATTGGGCCTGGCCGGGCCGGGCCTAATCAGGTAGGCATCTCATCGGGTCGGGTCCGAGCCGGGCCTGATCAGGCAGGCATGCCATCGGGCCGGGTCTGGGCTGGGTAAGAATAAGAATCACTGGTCCCGGCCGGGCCGGGCCTCACAAAGTAGGCCCGTGCACTGCGCAGGTCCACACTCCATTTTCCTACTTTCTTGTCTAAAGAAAAGATCAAAGTAGACATTCGTGTTTAGACAATGTAAAGTCGGTTGGCCTTCGAGGTGTGGCGATACCGACTTACGCTTTAAGTGAGAAATTTAGTCAGTGCAGTACGACGGCTAGTCTGGGATCTTTAACGTGCATCACGCAGCAGGTGTGAACGCCCGCACATCGGTACGATTTGGATCCAGAACAAAAAGGGGCGGGTGGTGGGGTTTGAACCCAAGATTCCTGGGTTCTGCAGCGCTAGATTTTGTTTGCTCCACTTGCTCCGAACTGCGGTCGGTCAGCACACATAGGCCACCGATGCCCCTTGTTGCTCAGAGCAGAGCGGGCGTAGTTGCCGAACTTACGATTCGAAAATGCGACTTTAAGAGCATTAGGTTCCTTCTCAGCTAACTCAAGCGACATGATTATGCTCTGTCGTATACAGTTTTTACATTCTTTGTATGGGGGACGAAAACATATTTCGGGATCACGATTTCAGAATGAGCTTTAGGTAAATAGTAACACTGATTTTAGGCAACAAGAAGGCTCAAGTGTAGTTACTCTTAGGTGTATAGCTTATGCGGTGACTCTATTGGGTGTTTCAGCGAAGAGTTTAAAAAATTCCCAACAGTAGAGTAATTGAGAAAAGAAACATCTCTTTAAAAAATCCTGCCAGTCTCGGCGGATGTCGTCAATTGCTGAAAAACGTATCGATTAGCCAAATAATTAACTAAAATTAACTCGTGCAAATTTTAGGACGTGAAAATAAACGTATGGCTCCAACTTGAAACTTACTCAGCCCCCCCGAAAGCCCCGAAATATGTCAAATTTAGGAATGCTTAAAGCACATGGGATGCTCGGGAGTGCGCTAAAGTTACCGCTCGTGGAACAGACGCAAGGCTGACGATGCGCAAACGCTGATAATGAGAATATAATTCGCCTTTTCGCACTGCCAGCCTCGTGCCTGCTGCGCAAGCGGCAAGTTTAGCGCACTCCCGCGCTCAGCAAGATTTCATATGAAATCATACGTTTATTTTTTACTCATTCAAAAATAAACTTTTTGGTTAATTAATGAACTATCTGTATGCTTGTTTTGAAGCCGTGACGCTTGCTGTAGCTGGCAGCTTCTTTTCTCCGAACTGAGTTTTTTTTTTTTTTTTTTTTTTAAGATATTGGTAGGAAGAAATTCTTTCATATATTCGTTGTAAAACTCAATATATTGTACGTCAGTCAGCACGCAACCTTGCCAAAGGCCGCGGAACACGAGTTTAGATTAGATGACAGCAGATATTTAAGAAACACGACATATCACTCTAAAAAATGTTTATGCGTCTACTTTCACGCACATAACTCGGAGAGCCACTCACCGCAACTTACGGAGGCAGCTCAGCGGATGACAATGCCGAAACATATGTTTAGACCGAAAAACGCAGTCTGAGTTGTGACATTGAGCAATGCAAAACGTCACGCTTGCATTGCTTAATGTCGCAACTCAGACTGCGTTTTTTGGTCTAAACATATGTTTCGGCCTTGTCATTCGCTGCGCTGCCTCCGCAAGTTGCGGTGATTGGCTCTCTGAGTGTTGTGCGGGAAAGCCGACTCACCGGCTCTTCGTAGAGTGATATAGTATGCCACGCGAGAGAGAGCTATGCTTAGCGTTGCGACACGCATCCATTACCCCCTTTTGTTTTGTCCCGACCAGAGTTCGTCTGCGCGTTCGGAGGCATTCATCTTTGACAATGTGATTTCGTTCTGACGGAAAACAGGAAAAATGGCCGACGTGGAGCAACTCGTGAGGGGACTGGCTTTGAGCACGGCTCCGACGACCCGAGAATCGTCCCTTGCCGGACGCCTGGTGCCGCTGTGGGTGATCCTCGGCCTGGTGTCGCTCGTCGTGCTCGTCATGCTTCTGGTCAGGTTGTACGCCGAGCTCACGGTGGGAAAGTGCAAGTCATCGGTGGACATGTCCGGAAAGACGGTCATCATCACCGGTTCCAACACGGGTCAGTCACGGCGTCCTTGGGAACAACTTGATTATAGGGCGGTTTCAGATGACCTACTTTCGGTTCTAAATCGTGTCAGACGCCATCTTGATAAACATTCTATCTGCCTTTCCATGCTCGGAGACAGTGTTTCCAAGTTCACTCGAGATCTTTCGCGCCCGCCAGAGTAGTCAAGAACATAAGGGAGCATTGGCTGCCAATCGGTTTTCTTACATACCGGTCTTTACAAGCACTGAAAACGAGCCGGTGATTAAGACGTCGACCCGTCCGTAACCAAAATGGCCCACGCATGTCGCCAGGGCTATTCCGAAAGAAGAGAGAGCGAAGTAAGCATGGTCTTAAGGTGCCCAAATACGTCACCGGTCGTACCTACCGAGTTATATCGTCGACAGAGCTACTGGGCATGTTTGTGCCTTTCACCAGCGACAAAACCGACGCCGATAACTAAGCGCCTGCGTGCAAACTAGTGGGGAAGGTGGCGGACGCTGTCCATCAACATGGCGGGAAGCGGCTTACCGGAAGTGAAAAGGTATTTTGCGAAGCCACCTTGTAGTCGCTGATAGGACAGTAACGACAGAAAGAAGCTTCATTTGTTCCGCCTCCAGCGTGAGCTTCCTGCCTTCGATAACGCTTCGGGGTATCGTGAGCCTGGAGTGTGCACGGGCGGCCATAGCACGACGGAAGCCAACGAGCGCATGCTGGAGGCTGGGCGCTCGAAAGACATGCCCTGACTGTAAGAGTTTAGTCCCCATCCCCTTATAACCAACCCCGCCAACCGAAGCAAGCCGCCTTATGGTTAACCTCTCTAGCTGTTTTCTGATCCTGCTCTTATCTTCTCTTCAAGCTTGTCCAAAACGCGACAGGCTTCGGACACCTTTGGACGCAATGGTGCATTCTTATACACAGAACATGGTGTAGGGCTGGTTTCTATGAGACAGTATACCGTTAGGAGAGAGCGATAGCGTAGTGTAACGTTAGGAAAGAGAGATTCACATTAGAGCTAGGAGAACGCGATAATCTCATGCTAAAAGTTCTAGTGATCCTCGAATACATCTGTCGAATCTGAGCACCGCTACGGCGATACGACTGATGCTGGCTCACTTGATAATATCCAGAGCGATCTTACGCATAAAGCGTGTAAAGTCTAATTCCTTCAGATTTTCACGTCACACCTGCATCAGATACCAGGAAGAACTCCGAGATCGTTGGAGAGCAGCTGCACATTACGACTACCGCGTGCCGAACCAACTTGCGCTAGCAAAATTCGGGCGCTGCCATATTGCTCGTGAGGTCACGGATTTTGTGAGGTCATGTGACGAGTAATCACATTCAACGTTAATAGATTACCTCCGTGTGGAACTCTGGCGAAGGGGGTACCCCCCATTCACTTCAGTCCGCCTCCCGTCATTTCAAGCGCCATCTAGATCTTTATTTACAAACTGTGCTTTCCATAGAGTACGGTGGAGCGCCGTCTAGACGCTGTGCTTCGAAACGTACGCAGTTACTATAGCAGATGCCGGGCACGTCGAACAGCGGGAGGCGAGCCGTGGTCAGGAAGGGGGGATGCCCCATGACGCTGCTCGTGCAAGCAGCGTCTATGAGCAGTTCCGCAACTGAGCTAACCTTTTAACGTTGGCCACATTTCTGTAGAGCATGGCGGCCACCAGGTCCGCAAGAAGGGGGGGGGGGGGGGTACTTTTGAATTTAAGATTTATCACTCTAAGCACCTCTAGCCATGGGCGTTCGCAGAATATTTTACGGCGGGGGGCGGAGAGGGGGGAGGGGGGAAGGGGGTATGCATGCAATGTTTTCTTTAGACGAGAGCAACCACGGTTGACCAGACGGGCACTAGACTATTTTACCTTCGATCGTATTACATTGTTTTATCGGCAGAAATAAGAGTCTGTCAACTTTTAGGGTGCTGGTTTTATGAACACGCCTGCTTCAGGCTTCCGCAGTGCTTGTTGCACATACCCTCGGGCTTGTCGTTCATATCTGACAATCCGTCACAACCGATAAAGCTCCAGTACCGCTGCCCACACGTGATACAAAAGAAACGGTACTCGCTGCAGGCATGGCGACGGAAGCATCTGCGCATCGAGCATCTGCTAAGCACATCTTTGTTCTATAAACATTGTCTCGTGCATGTCACCAGACAGTTTTTGTGTGACAGGACAAGAAAGAAACATGTCTCAGACGCTGCCTGCAGAATGACTTTTAAATGATGTGTTAGCTGTGCTGGCTTCGTCGTACGAGTACGCCACCGAAACATCTCGTCACCAATATACCCAGATTCCCAAAGACGGGGAGTGTGTGTGTGTGTGTGTGTGGGGGGGGGGGGGGGGGTGCAGGTGTTCCCCCCTCCATCCCGCCTTCGCACACCTCTTCGGACGCCCATGCCTCTAACTCGTTGGTGTCCAGATCTTGTCCCTACAAGACCTGTAGCAATGTCCTTTCCTATTCTCCTCTTCAATGTCCAAAGTTTCTGAGAGTGCTCTAAGAAATAAATAAACAAATAAATGAACAAAATGCAGATTTGAATCTGCAGTAGAACTTCTACCACGTAGTGTGCGAACGCTTAAAGACATATTAATACGAGCTAGGAACAGGCATGTCCATAATCAAGCACGCTGCAAGTGAGTGTTCGACGGTCACCAATCCTACCTACTGTTCAAAAAAAAAAATATTTTAGAAGCTTTATGTGATAGCGGCGAATCGCTTTCTCATAATTAAATTGCAGAAAAAAATATAACTGAGAACCTCGCGCCAAAAATCTCGAGTGTTTTGTTATTTCTGTTTTGACTATCTTACTCACTTTAAGTTGTTGTTTCCGCTTCGAGTTACGGAAGGCAGAGACTGAAGAATAAACAAATATATTAAAAAATACATATAACATTGATCAAACATGAAGGAAATTACTAGATTGACGGTTTGCTTTAGAAAGCATAAGAGACGATAAGAAAATTTTAAATTGTATGCGACAGTGCACAGGGGAATCCAAGAATGTAGTTCAAGGTTTCAGTGGGTGTTAATTTTTTGTTTTGTTTGTTAGAAAACGAAATTGTACTCTCGAAAATATTATCAAAAAGTTGTGCCCTCTTAATGTCCACTAATGCCGAAAAACGTGTCGATCACGAGTATTCCAAAATTAATGTTTGCTTCAACTTGAGGTATTAGGCCCCTATTTATACGATGGCTTAATAATACAATAACGTTTTCATAAGCATCACTTGTGATTGAATTATAGTAAATACTTTAATAAGTAATAAAAAGCAGAATTATCTTTTTTATAATTCGCACTTTAATAGCCTTTGCTAATTTTTCAACATAGTAACAAGGTAACTGAAAGCACACTAGTTCCAACGATGGAAGCGTTTTACGAAGCCGTCAGGGAAGAAGTCCACTCTCCGTTTCCGCATTGGTTGGTGAAGAAGAGACTGCGGAAACGTATGTTTGTGGCCCGCCGATGAATTTATTGGTCGAGGCGAGGAGTGAAAGTTTATTAATGCATTCGCGGAAAATGTCGTCTTGTTTCTGAGAACATGCTCCTGGGGAAATCTCATTAGATCGAGTAGAGATTGCTGGTCGGCATGAAATTCAATGCATACCGTGTGCTTCCATGCGTTAAAGGACAATAGAACTGACCTTCTGCCTGTCGTGTTTCGAAAGAGAATGACGATCTCGCTGATTGCATCACCGACGAAGATTGCGGTCTCCTCAATTGTCTGTTATATTTTCTTTTTTTAATTTGTTACGATATGATGAAGTCCAATAGACAGCTACAAAAACTTAAAACTATATATTTTGAGTGCAATGCCGCGTTTACAAAATTTTCTTTGGTGCAGTTTATACAATAGTGTTACTTACATGCGTTTTTTTTTTTTTTTTGTCTTTATAAGTATGCATTTTTGCTGCGCAAATTTGTCGCGGGGATTATATGTCTCATTCGATTCGTTGGCGAGGTTACTGAAACTTGCTTCCGCTTAGGCACATATTGTATCACAACCCTCATATGCGTGTTAAGGGGTGTCCAAACAGGACACTACAAAACGCACGACTCCGACAAATCGTGAAAATTAAAGCGGGCGCGTCCGCTTCAATTTTGACGATTTGCCGGAGTCGTGCGTTTTGTAGTGTCCTGTTTGGACACCCCTTTAGCCAACGCAATTTCGCCGCACCGACAGTACAAATAGATAAATTCGAAACATACAAAAGTGCGAATTCAACGTAAAAACTTTTGTTTAATGGCCGTTTGTGGGACTTTTACAGCGGTGCGACTTATAGGTCAACTCAACTCTCTGACGTCGGACCACTGCGGTGGCGCTGCGGTCGGCACTGCGCATGCGAAAAGCATGGACTCACGCAAGTGCCTACACCCGGTGTGAGCGAACGCGAGCTTGTTTGTAAGCTTTGCAAGCGGGGTGTTGGGCGTAGACCGGACAATGTAGTATTTATGATTAAAATTCGTTATGGGCTATCGATTCGGGTATTGGGCAACTTTTGGTAATCGCTCTCATATCCGGGAAATTACCAAAAAGAACTCGGAAAGCGAGTGCAACCCGATAAATGTTTTGTGCGTTTCTCTCGTTTGCTGCGTCATTCTCGTGTTGAGGGTTGCGTGCGTTTTAGCGTATGGCTCCGATTTGCATCGATCGGATGCAAATCGTCAGAACCTCAGAACGTCGTCATCGGCTTGACCTTCCTATTCTTTTTGTTCGTGCGCCCAACTAACTCGCTCAGTGAAGCCTGACCCGAATGTAATTACCTTCACGACGGTTGGGGTCACTCGACCTACACTGCCAGGCCTCGTTGTAAATTTATCCCCCCTCTATCTTCGGTCGTATTTCATTAGGACCTAGACACCAGTGTTGCGGAATGGGCACCCCCATTCCATTCCGATTCCATTCCGGGAATTGGAGTTTTCGATAATTCAATTCCTTTCAACTCCTAGGAATGGGGACACTGGGCCCATTCCCACTCCTGGAATGGCTTAAAGGGGT